AGCAAACAAGAGTCAGAGATTTAGCATAGGGCATGACACTGAGTAGGTACTCAATAAACATCTGATGATCTAGATTCTTCACTCTTTGGGCAGGTCCACCTGTCTTTATGCAGATGGATTTGTCCATCTGCAAAGAGTGTGTTTCTAGATCCAGACTCCAACAACTCCGCCATCATGTACTTTTGTGTTTCCAGTGGATGTGAGAGACCAGAAACTGTATATGTGTGTATGTGTGTGTGTAGCATGAAAGTTTGTTTACATGCATGCACTTCTACCAATAATGAGATTTATTTTCCATTTTCCCCTAAATTCATTACACTTACCAAGTTGGGAATTAATCTACCTTATCAAATGAGGAGTAACTTGTGATATGTCCAATTAGCCAACTCTGGGCAATTCTTTCTCTTCCTGGAACTCTGTCATCATAGATGTGGTAGAGACAATACCCTGTGTAGATACAATTTAAGAAAAATTAGGGTATAACCACATGTAGTACAGAGGCCCCTGGCAGACTGTCCCTTAACTGGGCAGGCCAAATTTGATAGATCAGCTGGGAGATCGTGTTTGCTGTAAGGATCCAAGACCATATTCAGGAATAGGTATTGATAACACTGTTAGCTCATCATCTGTGAGTTTCCTGGCTTGGCAACCTTATTGTCATTAGATATCTGTTTAGTGTCCCATGTGGAACTGAGAAGATGCCCCTGGTCATCCTACTTTATTCACCTACTGATGGAAGCCCACTTCTCTATTTTTTTAGGTTTTGCTATCTAGGATTCTAGTGTGTGCAGGATAAATAAACCATAGATCCAGGCTATATTACTTGAAATTCTGGCTCATCACTTAATAGCAAGGAAATTTGGAAAAGCCACTTGCACTCTCTAAGCTTTATTTTCCTGAACTGTGGAATAAGATAAAAATAGCCCTTATCTCAAAGGATTGTTGTGATAATTAAATGAATTAATGCATGTAAACATCTTAAAACAGTGCCTGGCACATAGTAAATGCTCAATATAGCTTACCTATTACTATCTGTATTAGTTCTATGAGGCACCCTGGTTTAGAAGAAAGAGCTTGGGTTTTAGAGTTGGATGCATTTTGGCTCTGTGACCATGAACAAGTTACTGACGTCTTTGTACCTCAATTTCTTCATCTGTAAAAAGGCAAGATATTACCTATATTGGAGGTTATTTTAAGGGTTAAATAAGATCATGCATACATATGTTTGAGTCATAGTAGATAAAAAATATAGTTTTCTTCTCTTTCGTTGGCCAAGTTATAAATGCTAACTCAAAAATCTGCATTTTTGAAAAGTGGCATCCATCATCCTAAGAAAAATATCTGTGAAGAAGAGTGCACTGTTGTAAAGAAAGGCAAATGGTTCTATGTTTAGCATCAGATGGGCAAAAGCATTTAAGTTCATGGTTGACTGCTTTGTGAGTTTTCATAAAAATAAAATCTAACAGATATAATTAAGTATGCAGCATTTAGAATGAAAGTAGGCACTCCTCTTCATTGTGTGGGCAATAAAACCTGCAAGAAAAAACAATCAATATGTTGGTGCAATTAAGTTTTCAGCTACAGATAACTAATTTCAATCCTCATGGTTTTTCTAGGGTTCAAATGTATTGCTTATTCTTCTTAAAATATTAATATAGCCCTGAATTATTTATGGAGCCAAGAAACACTGTACTCTTTTAACATGGAAGAGAATGGAAGGTTATTTCATGTCAGCACCATGAAGACAATAATAAATCTGAAATGTAAATAATACCTCTGAGAATAAAGCCTGGTTGAAGGCCACAGCATGTGTTTTCTAGACTTTTTCTTTTGTGATACAGAAGTTGGAAAACCAATAGACAATGCTATTCTGGACTCAGGATTCTGTTGGGGTTGCCAGTAGCTTGTGCAGTATTGAGGTCACTCTAGAAATTTTGATCACTTATGATAATATTATTTAATTTCATGTAATTTAAAAAACCTACTATAATCACAATAGCTATTATTTATTGCATTTTTATTATGTTCTGAGTATTATGCCAAGTGCTTATATACATAACCTTTACATCTTTACTCTTAACAACTCTGTAAAGCACGTACTGTGAGTTTCCCTGTTTTACAGGAGAAGACACTGAGATGAACAAAGGTTAAATGTTTTGAATCACTGGCCTCTGACTCCAGAGCTCTTTTCCTAATGTAACAACTTGCTGCCTCTACCCAAAGACAACATTAATTCCTCTTGCCTGTGGCATTCTATAGCCGAAAGCCTGTGCTTCTGCCGCACTCTGCTTGACTTTGTAGACATTTTTTTCATGTTGGTATTCTCCACTATTGTAGTGGAAAGAGCATAGTCTTTGAAGGTAAACAGACCTGGGTTTGATTTTCATGTCTCCTCTTACTAGCAGAATTATCTTGAATTACCTAGTATTCAGAATAAATCTCTGAGGTAGGAAAGTTATTGTCTCATTTTATCACTTAGGAATCTGCGGTTTAGAGAGGTTAAATAACTGGACCAAGGAATTGAGCTTGAACCTAGCTCTATCAGAAGCTTCCAAATTTATCTACATCATTATAAATATTCAAAATTGCAATGTGATACCCTGGAGATTATCTAGTAGCCTCCCCATTTTGCAGATGAGAAAACAAGGCCCAGAAAAAGTTTAGGTATTATTACCTTCATTTTACAGAGAAGAAGATGAGAAAAGAAGGGCTAAAACTCCTGAATTCTGTACTTTTCTAAAACTTCCTAGTGTTTTGAAGTATTGCTATTGAGAAGGGTTTTGCCACTTCTCTTGATGGAAGGGCTACTTACTCTATTAGATGGTGGTACAAAGGAAGCTATTGTGGAGTGATGCACATAGAGAAATTCTCTCTTTTCCTTTTGTTAACATTGAAATGACTTTTATTTGCTTTGACCTTGGGTTTCTTTTCATCATTAAGAGGGATATATTGTGTGTTTAAATATTGCATTATTAATAATATTTGCCTGAGTGCAGTGTCATGATCAATTTTTCATGTGCATCATTCTTTATGCAGCACTAGTTGAATTTCAAACAGAACCTTACCTTCACCTCTCCTCTCCTCAGTGACAGTCTTCAGAAAGAAGAATGGCAGGCCTGAAACTCCTTATCCACATGGGAGATCAAAAATGCCTCTCTAGGTCAGCCCAAAATTCTTTTTGAGATTAGGGCATCATGAGGCAACTGTGAGGAAGCGGTGGGTATCTTTCTAAACCTAAACCTTGTAGCGGAGAGTCCAGGTGGTATCAAAGCCCTAAACGTCCCTTAATCTCCTATGACTCTATTGTCTCATCCAAGTCACCTCCCTCCCATTCTTCTCACCTCTCCTCTTCCATCTTTCCTTCTGAAAACATTCCTAGTTGGCAATGGACCTCTCCATTCTGATTGTGAGGCAGGCACTCACAGAGCAGTGTGATTGGCAGTATGATCTAGGAAGGTACAGGGAGTATGTGTGTGTATGCACACACACACACACACACACACACACACACACACACACACACTCTCTCTCTCTCTGTACCTTCCTAGATATATATACACACTCCTGTAACAGCTCCCTTTACCTTAAACTAATATATTAGTTTAAAAGTAGGGAACAAATTTATTTCTGTCCAGAATTATATTTATTTAAATAAATATATATATTTATTTTTGAACCCCTGTCTGGGTAAAATTTTATTAATACACTTGTTTCCCCAGATAGCTTCCTGGCATATGGCCAGATTGGCATATCGTTCATCTCCCAGAACTCCAGAGAATATTTGAAATAGGGGATAGGTATGCTTGCCCCCAAGTTCACTAATAAGTCTAGTTAATGAAAACTGCATCAGTTTGGTGATTTATGCATGAAACTTTTCACCCCATACTGCTAAATACCTCTTCTAAGCCTACAGCCCCAGAATGTGTGGGAAGCAGTCCTTGGTGGGGTTTTCATCTTTACCACAGTAGCCTTTCAGATGCTTTTGGTGCAACCCATAGGGCCATCTTTGTTAGTCTATTCCAGGGCTTGGAAGATGACTAACTTGGTGGGCTAGACTGGAGGCTTTTTTAGAATAGGCATCATTTTTTATTCATCTTTGAAACCACAAGTTCCACAGGTGATTGACAGAGTGAACACTCAGGATGTTTGAGGAAGGAAGGAAAGGGAAAAATAAGGGAAAATAAATAGAGGAAAGGAGTGCTTCCATTCTGTCACCTGTCCCACCAGGGAAAGGAGGGTTTGTGTGGTTCAGTGGTCATAGCATAGTGGTTAGAGGAAGGAGATGAAGTAACCCGGGAAGACATGGTGCTGTCTACAGCATACTCAACCCCACTGAATTTTAATTTCCTTTTCATTAAGTGCGAATGATATTGAGAAGGGTTTTGCCACTTTTTCTCAAAAAACAGCTTCTACTTTTAAAATTTATTATAAAAATTAAGCTAGTATATATAAGATACTTGACATACTATATACTGTATAGTAAGTGCTCAATAAAAGTCACATTTTATTAGTAAGTTTTTGAAAGTCTTATTGTCTCTCCAGTATTTTTCCTGTTTCTCACCTTCACTGTGAGCCAGAAAATTCCTTCCTCTGGAAGGCTTTATCTCTGTACCAGCATTTCCAAAAGTGTTCTGGGAAATAGATGTTAATAGGTATTACATAAAAGAAGGATTCATATTCAAATAAGTTTGAGAAGTACTAGATTAAAAATAAATTAACCAGATTCTTTACAGCAGGACTTTTAACAACACCGAAATGTGCTAACACACATTGTAATTCTTCAGAGGGGCCCAGTGCATAAAACATTTCCTAAAGTTATTGGATTATAGACCCTCTCTCCCTCTTTTTTTCCCAGAGTATTTTATGGAATTAGTGTTCTCAGGAAGTTATTTGCTCAACACTGCCCCACAAAATTACCAGATTGTTTTTCTAACTGTCAAAGCACAGTTCCACTGATTCTCTTTATTTACTGAAGCACACATTAACAACTTTTTCCTTCATATGAGATGGGTAATGGGCCAACATCATAATAAGGTTTGAGAGATACAGGGCTCACACATTATTGTGAAAACTTAATCATCATGCTTAACAAATTTTTTAAACTATCATTGGGAAACTTAAACAAATAACAGTGACAAAAACTTCCCTGAATTTCCTAGTTTTTGTTTATGTGTATATATTTTTAAAGGGACATCTAAACTGTATTTTAATTTTTATTAATCTATTCATTTTACAAATATTTCTCAGTATTAATTATTTGTCAAGCACAGTAATGGACAGACATGATTGGCGTGTAGAACTGACAGGAAAGAGGCAATCAAACTTTTAGTTACATGTAGAGTGATAAAAATCTATAGGATAATGTGGAAGCCTATTAGAAGAACACCTACTGCAGCTTTGAGGGATCTGAGAAGGGTGCCTGGAGGAAGGGATGTTGCTGATGGAATCTCAAAGATAAGTAGGATTTAACCAAATGAAAGAAAGTAGTTGGGAGAATGAGTATATAGGCAAAAGGCACATCATGTACAGAGTAGTGTAAGAGACATGTTGAAAGAAATTCAGTGAGCTGAAAAATAAAAATGAAAATAGTACATTTTATTGTAGCAAATTTAGAAAGTAGTGAAAAGCACACATGACACAGCAAAATCCCCTCAGATTTCTCCTCTTAAAGACAACTCAACATCCTATTTCCTTTGTCTTTTTTTCTACGCATTTTCCGTTTACATAGAATTTTAGAATGTGTATAAAATTCTGTTGCTCCCTTGTAATATATTGTGAGAATGTCTACAAATTGTGAAAGATTGCTTTGGAACTTTATTTTTAATGGCAGATTATGATATATCTGTAGGTACGTAGGTGCGAGTCGTAGTGACCCCTCAGTTACGAGGGAGGAAAGACAATGTGCCAAGCAGTCTTCAGATGTTTTCCTTTATCCCGTCTCTGGTGACAAGAATCCATAGTTAAGTCACTAGGTAGACATGTTTTACATTGATTTACAAGGCCACCCCTAAGGTGAGCAGGGCTCCAGGCAAATATTTTTTGTGACACCTCTGGCTACATTAACAATTTGATTAAAAACTGTATTACAAAATTTATAGACTCATGTGAGTTCCATGAATATGGATGAAAATTTAGAATAATGTGTAGAGAAGATACTTAGGTGTTTGTTTATTGTTCAGTGAGTGCATGTGACGTATCCAGGCGCCATCTTTTCATATTCTTTATTGTCAAAGGCATAATTTCTGGCTAATTTTATATCTCCCAACTGTGGAAAAAGCTAGCACTACTATTACTCACAATACATGACTTTCTGGAACATATTTGTACTGAAACAATATAGATCTTCTTGCCTCAGCAGTTTCCTAATACTGTTTACTTAATGTGGGTTACATCATTACTCATAATGCGTCATCATTCATGGTACCCCCACAAATACTGGTTTATAATGATTAACACAAATGCGGGGCTCATCTTAAGTATACAGAAAAATGTGAATAAATAATTTATCTTCACTTATGTTAAATGTCCCATTAGGAATTGTATTGCATAAACGTAGATTAATACATCTTTCAACAATGTTTTCTCTTGAATTCTAGCTTTAGGTGGTAGGCCATGCATTCCCAGAATGTACTCTATTAGAGTTAACTGCACAATGTTAACTGGACTTCCACACACCACCATCAGCAGGAATAATAAGCAAGGAGTCTAGTTACTGAGAGAAACTGTTGTATTTGTGCAAGCACAGTTTGTTCTCAAATGGCACACTTATTAATGACCCAAGAGACCACAATATTTACACTTGGATTGGAGACAATGAGGAGGGTTTGGTAGAGATACAGAGTAACAATCTTGAAAGACTTCAAAGAAGATAGATATCTCATGATAGGGACAGCTACTTCTAGAGGACAACTTAGCACTGCAAAGATAGTGGTAACTGCTTATCAGAAGGGGATACAGGGTTAAGGATGCCTGCTGCCACCCATGCTATCTTCAGCTGCTGTAAACCCAGAGACAGCACCTCAGTTAGAACATAGATGGGGACGAGCCAATGCCTGGGTCCATACACAGCTCAAGTCCAGAGGTCAGTGGTGGACTATCAGTGTCCCAGAGCCCTAGACCCTTCCTGTGTCCAACAAAAATGAGACTCACCCAAAATCAGTATGGTGGCACCATTCTGGTGGCCCAATCTTGTATGATCCCATGAAGGAAATACACAGAAGTGATCTGTTTACTCAGGCATCTTATCCTGGAAATGGGACATAGAACAAGCCCATAACCATATGTTCTGAGCCTTCTCAGAGCATCTGATTGTCTCTATATCTGGGGAACTAGAAAGACTGAGAACACCGTGAGAATGAGAAAGGAGGGCTGAGACATGCCCTGCCCAATTGTCACCGCTAGCCGTGGTTGATCTCCAGCACTGTGGGAGGACTGACAAAATTTCAGGTTAGACATACCTAGTGACCAGGACCCAGAGGAACCAGGCTCAGGACATCCTACTTGGACTGCACAGCCAGCCCAAGTACTAGAGAAAGACATAGGCATTTTTCAAAAGACACTCCAAAGTATAAGAGGGGCCCCACTTACCACAGTCAGAAAGCATTACTGAACCTGGCTCAGCAGTTTCAATTCTGGCTCAGTGACAAGTTTCAAAGAAATGATTCCCACCTCCCCCTCAGAGTTATACCCACAATAGGTAGGTAGGGTGTTGAGTGGGAGGTGAACACTTTTACTTCAGAGAAACATGCAGTTCCCACTGCTTTGAAATAAAAGCCATGTCCTTTTAACAGAAACTAGCCAAATCCTGGAAACTGCCATAGAAATCATTGGAAACCCAGTGATATCCTCCTCACATTATGAGGGATAGATACTAATAATAATGATAGTAATAATAGTACTAAGTGTAATAAAGTTTATTCATACCTGATATATTTGAAGAACTAGATACTTTTTCTATGTTTCCTGTAATTGTACTATAGTCGTACAAAGTAAGTATTATCTCCATTGATGAGAAGAAGAAATCAAGGGTCAGAGAAGTGAGGTGATTTACCCAAGGCCACTGAGTCGATGAGTCACAAAGCCAGGCCCATATAATTTTGTTACCCAAGTTCTTTGCATTGTGTCTCACTGCCTTTTGTAAGCCAGTTTGCAGGTGCCCTCTGAGGGTACAGAAAGATAGTCCTGCTTTGGAGACAAACAGGTTAGTGTATAGAGAGATACTGGAAGCAACTTGCATGACGTGAGTCTCCTCTCTCCCAGCCTAAGACCTGGCCACAGTGCTCTGTCACTCCTCTCTCCTTTCCTGCTTGGAGCACTATCCATCCTCCAATCCTATAGGTTCTTCCCAAGCATGTCATTAGATTTTTTTTTTCATAATTTCATTTATACATCAACATTCCATTTCTCAGTGGGCTATAATTAAGCTTCTTTCCTTTTTTAAGTAAACAAGCATGCATGTGAAGCCTCTTGGTAAATGACCTTCAAGCTGTTAGCTGGCCTTGAAAGTACAGTTTTCACTGGAAACCTGGAGGTGGCAACTTTTCTTTTCTTACAAGGTGCGTGGAAATTCAGAGACCTGTATACTAGCTGCTGGGTGACCTTGGTCAGGTTACTGCTTCTGCCTGGATCAGTATAAAATGGGGATGAAAATAGGAAATTTGGAGTAGATAAAATCTAGCTAGTGGCAACTTGCTAACTTCTCTCTCTCTCTCAACGTGACATGCAGCAGTAGTATGAAATTGGGCACATACATCTTAGAATACCCTCCTGTGTAATCATGGGGCAGAGTGGTAGACAAGAAAGTGCATAGACTTTGGAGTCACAGAGCTCTGGGTTTCAATCTGCCATCTGGGGACAGTCATTTAAACTGTCTGACAATTCAGGCAATTGTGTCCTATACTTAGAGTTTCCAGGGCATGGATTTTCAGATGTCATTCTGCAGAATGATTAAGACTAGCAGATGTTTCTTAGATGTCTCCTCCCCTACTCCACCACCTTGCAGACACCTGTGGACAGAAAAACCTATCTCCTGCTCTACCTCCTATGTCCCTGCCCTCACCGAGCCTGCTCCCATGCCTTTTCTGCTCCTTTATAAGATCAGAAGCATTAGTTTTGTGCTGCCTTTAGCATTCTGAGTTTTCTGAAGCTGATGAATTATGATTTCCTCCATCTCAGTCCTTTTACTTCTGGCTTGGAGGAACTAAGCTCCCTGGCTGCTCACTGCTACCACGCTGTGATTTCATAATCAGATGTTTAGGTTGGCTGTAATGATTGGGCAGAAGAATGGCAACAGGTACTTTCTGAAGCCCAATCATAGGCAACACAAGGAGCCTGGTGTGGCCCCTGAGGCCCCATAATACTCCTTGGAGGGGGTCTGCAGTACTTCTCAGTGTTCTATTCATGGGCTCAGGACAGTGGTGCCCATATGACAGGTATAGCTGATGAAATGAGACAGTCACCACCGCTATCCCACTTTATAGCTACCAACTCTTCATTCTCCTGGCCAGCTACCTGGGGAAGAAGGGTTTTTCTCTTACCTAGGTGCTTCCCCTTTAAACCAACACTTTTTCACTTGTTTCCCCACTCATTCATTAGAGTTCTGTGTTTCCTCACACAAACACATGGATTCTGGGATACCCCACAATGCTAGATACTTTTTTATTTTTTATGGTCTTATTTTTTTTATTTTTAATTTGTGTAGGTATATAGTAGGTATATATATTTATGGGGTATGTGAGATATTTTGGTACAGGCATGCAATGCATAATAACCACATCATGGAAAATTGGATGTCCATCCCCTCAAGCATTTATCCTTTGTGTTACAAACAATCCAGTAATACTCTTTTGGTTACATTTAAATGTACAATTAAACAATTATTGACTATAGTCACCTTGTTGTGCTATCCAATACTAGGTCTTATTCATTCTATTTGTTTTTTGTACCCATAAACTGTCCCCACCTCCTCCGTAACCACCCCGCACCCCCCGCCATTCTTCCCATCCTCTGGTAACTCTGTCTCCATGAGTTCAGTTGTTTGGATATTTAGATCCCACAAATAAGTAAGAACATGTGATGTTTGTCTTTCTGTGCTTGACTTATTTCAC